TATACACAGCCCAGGTGTGAATGCAAATAGTGGAATACAAGCTATGCGGCTCGGTTCCAGTAGATACAGAGAATATTTTGTCATTCTTAATGCGTCCTACAAAATTCTTAACAAGACAGCACTAGTCCGTGAATATATATATATATATATAAATTCCATTAACCGAAAGGTCCACTGATTATTCTCAGATAAGAAAGTATAATACATATTCCAAGTATTGAATCGCAATACAATGGCGTGTATTTCAATACGTGTGTATTATACTTTCATATTACCATCTCTCCATGGTTTTTTTTTTTTTTTTTAGATTCTACAATACTATCTTCTTTACCATGTAGCCTTCCACATTTTTTTTTATTATACATACATATACCAATATATTTTTATTCACATACATATAGATACATATATATTTACTGCTTATATATGTTCTATATAATTTATGTAACTGTATGTAATTGATGTTTTTTGTCTGTAGAGAGATTGGAATAATATTCACATCAATTACTTTGGGATTCCACACTCAATTCTACCTGAGTTAAAGGACACTAGGTAAGTTTTGATTATGTTGGTTGGTGAGCTTTTGCTTAAAGTGAAAGAAAATAGACAGAATATTAATAATAATAATAATAATAATAATAACAAAAAATAATAATAATAATAATTTAAAAAAAAATAATAATAATAATTTATAAAAAAAATAATAATAATAATAAAGGTTGAGAATAGAACCGCAACTGCTGCGCCAAACCGCTAATTTTCAGATTTTATCTGTTCAATGCACTTTACATAAAAAGCTGATAAAATACAATATTAAAATAAGCAACATTATACATTAAATTAAAAAATATTATATAGAAGACTACAAAATTATATCATATATCATATAAACTATATTAATTACATCATTAAAAGTAAGGGACAGTAGGGACATGTTATAGGAATATTAAATAATAATATTTTAATTTCCTCATACAAATACAGGAAGGCGAAGCAAAGGAGGAACAAGGTTTGGCAGCCCCATAACACCAAACATGAAAGAAAACAGAAAACAGTCACACAACAGCAAAGACACCTTACAGAAATACTTGAAAGAGTTTGACTGTCTTAAGAAATGTAAAGATAATGTTGTGAGATGGATGAACAAAGATAATATGGAACATGTCCATATAATATCCATTACAAATACACAATAATAACATATTACATCAGTATTTTTATTAGAAATCTGTGGTGGGGTGGGGGTGTTTTTAATGCAGACAAAAGCACAAATTTTTACCCCTAAACAAGTATTTTTAGAATATTAATATCACCATTCTTAAGCTTGATTTCCATGCAATCGCTACACGCTACTGGTGACAGTTTCCGGTGATACTGATTGGTCGGTCGAATCAGGGAGCCTTCCCGAATGTGTCGGGAGCTGCTACGCACTACATTAAGCAGCTTTCGATTTGGACGACGCGGCGTGGAGCGTGAAACCATACTGCGCATGCGAATACATGGGGAAATCGTTCGTTGTGTGGATTTGACAACATGCTTCAAGCAGTTTGGCGTTGTGTTGACTACGGCAAGGCGAGTTTTATAAATACACGATCGCTGGGGGCACCTGCATAATTGATCACGGGATATGAGGGAGCGCGTCGTCCTGTAAATCGAAACAGCTTTGATGTTCAGACGGGAAGTGCATAGTACGACGTTCATGGTTGATTGAATTCCCTGTCGTAGCACCCCGCGTTGCCCATTTCGAAAGCTCGCTAGTGATTGCACTGGAAACACTGTAGCGACAGTGTCTTGTTTATAAGGAAACCGGACTTAAACTGATTAAAGAGGTTTCAAAACCTTTAAACCCATTATCAAGGTATCTTTATAGGCCACAGAAAAATTTACGATTCAAAGGGTTAAGATAAGCCATACCACTGTCATATAATATGCGCATGTGCATTCAATCACATAGAAGTCTTTAGGTATAACAAGGCCTCTCTGTACCCGAAAACTGGTACATGTCAATAAAATTCCAATCTTAAAAGATTTAATCTTAGAGTTTAATTGAAGCTATTATACAATAAGAAACACAGTACATATTCACAAAATTTTGACTTCCTGTAACATATCAGGCAACAATAAACTACTGTAGTCTTAAAAAGTACAACATTCAATGCTTAATTTTGTGATGTTGGATTGATCAATCAAATTAAAGTCTTCCAATACAACAATCTTAGATTAAAATCTAGCAAATTCCAAATTCCTGACCCCAAGTCTCATAAAACGACTTGTAATTAGTATTTTGGGGGTCCTGTGTAATCAGTGGTGTATCTAGGAGGGGTGCGCAGGGGGGCCACATCCCCCAAAAATTACTCTCGCCCCGCCAAAAATCACGGTCAAGTAGTTAAAAATCACCTTATTTTGCAAATTAGCGCCCCTCAACTGATAATCAAGGCTCCCCCCACTTCACCTTTGCACCCTCCCATCTGCACCGCCATTTCAAGACTTCTAGATACGCCACTGTGTGTAATCAACATTAATTTTAACAATCTTTTTATTGGAATAGGCTTCTAACTGTTAGGCTTTGCACCATCAATCACTCTTATTAAATATAATGTTTTTAAAGAATATTATAATGATCAAAGAATTTTGTCTGGTCTTGTGTTTGTTGTTGTTGATGTTCTTGTTGGTCTTTTTTATTGTGTCTAAGCCCCCTCGGGGGCAAAGACACTATGTTATGATCTGGCAATTAAAGATGGCGGAAAGGGTAAATCCGGTGGAGGTGCATGATGGGTCATGTGTCATACAAAAATAGTTTAAAAAATACAACGCCACACATTTCCTGATAAGGCCCAATAAAAAAAATTATTAGTTTATCACCCTCGCGCGCATGCCTTCTATGGTATTGGAAAAAAAAATTTCTGAAAAAAAAAAAATTTTTTTTTTGAAAAATTTTTTTTTTTCATTTTATTTATTTATTTTTTTCATTTATTTTATTAAATAGTTAAGTAAATATTGTTTGCATTATCTAAATCATGTTTTACTTTGAATATCAATGTACCAGCAAACAACCCAAGGGTAATATTTGGCTTTAGCAAAAAAAAATTTTAAAAAAAAGCCTCCCTCCCTTATCACTTTTCCTGCCCAGATAGGGTGATAAACTAATATTTTTTATAGGGCCTTAGGCCAGACTTATTTATGCAATGTATAGCGAACCTGCTGCCGGCAATAATGATTTCATATAAAAATATAATTTCATTTTTGGCAAGTTAGTGCACTTGCCTCCACAAAAAAAAAGGAAATTTCCAGAAGAAAAAATGTGTCATACAAAAATAATTTAAAAAATACAACGCCACACATTTCCTGATAAGGCCCAATAAAAAAAATTATTAGTTTTCACCCTCGTGCGCATGCCTTCTATGGTACTGGAAAAAAAATTTTCTGAAAAAAAAAAAATTTTTTTTGAAAAATTTTTTTTTTTCATTTTATTTATTTATTTTTTTCATTTATTTTATTAAATAGTTAAGTAAATATTGTTTGCATTATCTAAATCATGTTTTACTTTTAATATCAATGCACCAGCAAACAACCCAAGGGTGATATTTGGCTTTAGCAAAATTTAAAAAAAAAAAAAGCCTCCCTCCCTCATCACTTTTCTTGCCCAGATAGGGTGATTAACTAATAATATTTTTTATAGGGCCTAACCAAATCCCATGTGGATACTTTATTAGTAAACATAATACAGTAAGGCGGCATAGGGCATAGACACATGCTCCCACTGGGAGCCTATTATATTATAGTGTGTTGTAATTTTTGTTATCTAATTGATTTATTTTCTTTCATTAGTGATGATTTTGGAGTTTGTGAAGAAGAGATCTTTGGAGGCCCAATCCCAATTCATGCTTGTGTAAGTGTCGCATTTCTAAATTTGAATTAATATCGATTTTCTATTACATTTATAGCACTTTGCACTTTTCTTTTTAGTATTTGCATATTTAATATCCCATTGAGATTTCACAGATTTATACTCCCTCTCCCCCCCCCCCCTGCCCTCACCACATTTTGTTGTCATCATGTTTGTCATTATTTCATTTCATTGTAAAAATATGTTGGATACAAGGAAGTTAATGCAACTGACATACACATTACTACAACATACACAAAACTCTAATTGTATTCAAGTCTGTTGAAACCTGAGAGGATTACGCAAAAGTAGACAGAATTTAGTATTCAAAAGTAGTGTTCAGTACATTTCGATTATAAGGGATTAAGAACCCACAGTCTGAAGGTTGTACAATTAGACCCCATTGTATTCACTTTCTTCATTTCATTCATTTATTTGCCTCAAATAACCCAAGCACTGTGCGAGTAACAGAGCAATTGTGAGGTCTCACCACGAAATGAGACCCATCGTTGGTGAAATCATATTGAGATATTCACCAAAACAGGCCAAAGTCAACATTTTTACAAAATTTTGATTTTAATGTTTTTGAATAACTGGATAATTATATTTTATGATTGTATACTTTGTAAGTGAATTTTCTTGCCAAAACTCTGCATATATTCTGTAATCCTAGTCATATTATTTTGTACAGGTTAGTTTTTCTTTGAGGCCGATTTTCCAAAACGTGGTTCTTATACACCTGAACTTTAAATGCTCACATCTCTGGATTTACTTACAGTAGGGAAGCCATTCAAAGACCAAATGAAAGCTTATAATGTGATCTACCAAAATATAATATAAACTCAATTTTTGAATTTCTAACCATGAGACTCATTTTGTGGCGAGACCTCACAATTTAAAAGTCATGTATTTAAACCAGCTTGTACATAAGATTTATTCTTTTCTCGTCCATACATACTTCATTGACTTACTCACATTGATACTATACTTACAGTACCTGGATGAATAATAATATTCACAAACATACTTAAGTTATGTTAAAAATAATTTTTATTTTTTCTATTCCATTATTTTCTTACATTTTACATCTGTATAACTTAGGAGCAAACTGTTTTTCCTAATACTTTATCGTATTTATGCCTACAGTACATTTCATTATGTTGCAGTTTGTTATTACTTTGTAATGATATTTTTGTTAGGCCTATATATATATAATCATATCTTCTGTATACCATTTATTGAACAATCCAACTCCCAGGTAGTTTTAATATTAGATTGTGAAAATGTTGAGAATTGTGAACGACTCCTAGTAATTATCATTCCATTAGGTAAAAATATTTGAAAGAATTGCATTAGATATATACATATACTTCAGATATATACATATAAAATTGTAAATTTTTTCAAATTTAATTAATAGCACTTAAATCTATCATTAATCATTGCCATCATCATCACTTCTATCATTATATCATTATCATTATTGTTGTTATTATCATTATTATAATACTATTACCTTTAAACATAAAGACTCCACTACATTATTCTAAATACTGTACGTAAAAAAGCATTAACTTTCAATTGATTATTTTGAGAATATGTTTTTCTTTGTGAAAATACATTCCTTTCCAATTATTGTAATGGACATACAGTACATAGACCTATATATTGTTTTTATGTGTTTGCACAGACATACAATTTGGCTGGTAACCACTTTGAAGATTTCTTTTGAAAATCATTGAGAACTGAATTGTTCATATATGTCTCTCATTGGAAGTTATATAAATTATTGGATTGTTTTAAAATACGCATTGTAGTGTCTTAGTATAATATAGGGGTTTTCAGATCACCAAATGTTATAATTGTTTCAAAGTAAGAAGTAAGAAAATGAAAACAATGATAATCATGATTAATTAAATTTACATTTTTTTTTTATTGCAAAACATTGTATAGGATGGGATTGTATCCTGGTTTAAAGCTATTCACTTCCTGTGTTTGCGTGATGCTTGTCTTGTGTAGCAATGAGCCTTTGCGCTAAGCCCCGCCCCTTGGATATTGTTGCTAAGGCCCCACAAAACTGTTCTTATTGGTCGGTTGTTAAGTTTGATTGACACACCAGAAAGATCCATTGTTGCTACCAATCACTCCAAATCACTTTCACTCACAATCCACAATTGTACATGAAAGCTCACCAATAGTTATTATTATTTATTATTATTATTTAATTTATTATATGTATTGTCTCCATAAAAATATATAAATATATACATCAAGATAAACAATAAAAAAACAACTATACAAAATAAAAACATTAAAAAGGAAAGTAAAAGAAAATCAAAGGAAAAAGGAGTATCCAGTTTGGTGGTGAGTGGGGAGACGGGCATACCAACAGGAACCGAGTTCCTCTTCAATAAATGTTTGGAATCCACAAGCACTCATCAGCAAAATGTATAGTCGCGCAGAATAAAAAAGGTTAAATGAACGATTCCTTAACATATTTCTTAAAGAAATTGAAATTTCCTTTGATATTTTAAGTTATTGATTTCTTCTAAGCTTTGTCTTGTTTCTGTATACATATGTCGTTTTTTAGTCTGTGGTTTTGTAGTTTTATTGTGAACGCACCACATGACGTGTGCCACTGATTCAGAAGTGTAGTTTTCAAATAAAGTTATTATCAATTTATGACAATTGTTACCTGTTGGGAGTGGGTGATAAAATCTTCATTAAACGCCTGATCACCATGGAATCCAATCAAAACAAATCTCAACCAATTCCACAGGATACTGATAGGCTGAGGTCAGTCACATGAGCCAGTCATTAGAGCCTGTTGACAATGCCACCTCTGTAAAGTTGCGGTATTTCTTAAATGCGTTCAAATCCCGCAATTGGTAGCGAACAGAAGTAATTTCATAATTTTGGATTACCACAATTACATCTGAACTGATCTTGAAGAAATTCTAGTCTAAATAGTGTATATAGCACAATGATTAGGATCTTAAAGTTAATTGATAGTGTGTTTCATGGGTACTTTTAGATTTTATTGTTTTGAAATAGACTTCTGTTAGATAATGTTTTTTTTAATTGTGTAAATTGCAACATTTTCAGCTGTTCAGCTTCTTGTTTTTATACTTTAAAATAAATAAATTATAAATGAGTGATGTATATTCACTATTGGCAATCCTTGGCCTCATGTCTAAAATAATTATTTATTTATGCTCATGGGCCAAAGATTGACAATAGCGAATATATCACTATATTTATAGTACAGTAAGTTTCAAAACATAGAGTAATAATTCTGTCAATAAAAAGGACTCAAACCTAAGACCCTGGAATTAGGAAGTAAGTGAGGGGGGGCGGATCCAAGAATTTTGAAATGAGGGGCACCAGTTTCTCAGAATAGTGCAAAGTGAGGGGCAATAAATATGCCCACTCCCAAGTCTGCTTCTGCCTCACACCACTCAAATCAAATAAAATTGTTTCACATGCCGGGTAGCCCAGACACGAAGAGAATTTTAGTGGAGAGGGAAGTTACTGCACACTTTGAGCGCTCTGATCTTTTTGAAATAGTGCTCTATAGGTGCTGTAATATATAGTAATAATCTCATTATTTATTTTTAGTGATTTTTTTTCTCTTGTTTACTTGATGATCAGGTTGGTGACCAACAGGCAGCTATGTTTGGTCAGTGTTGCTTCGATGAAGGTGACATCAAGGTTACTATGGGAACAGGAACGTTTATAAATTTGACTACAGGGGCCTACCCGTGTGTACCGACTCTTGGTAATTTTGAAATTTATTTTTTGACATTTTAAATACATGAAGAAATATTAAATTTATTAATTTATCCAAGTTAAATCATTTTACTGTAATTTTTTTTACATGAAAATGATGAGTACTACAGTATTATTGGTTTAAACATTCTAGGTATATTTTTTTTATATTGTTTTTTTTTCTATGAACCAAGAGCAACAATATTCCACTTAAAGGCATTGCAAGGAAACTGATCATATCCTGCTGATATTATCATGAAAATTTAGTCCACTATGAAAAAATATAATTTCACATTGCATGTATTTACATTTTGATATTGTTTTCATATGTTTTAGGAACGTATCCAATGGTTGGCTGGAAGATTGGCTCCGAGGTGTCTTACACGATGGAGGCGATGGACTCGGATTCAGGAACTGTGTTGACTTGGCTTGAGAGTGCAGGTATATGAATCTATGTTACTTTTCTTCCTGCTTACAATAGGCTATTCCCTAGTGAATACTTACAAATTCTTTCCTCAATTTGAAAACTGGTTCATTACACTTCAGTGCAGTGTTAGAATGTGACCTATGGTTTTTTTTGTTATAAAATCACTTTTTTACTCATAAAGGAAGGACATAAAAAGTTGGGTTTCAATGAAAGAGAATACAAGGCAAATATAGCTAATTTTACTGAATGAAATGGAACAAAATCTAATGATATAAACTTGTACGTAATTTACATTACAGTATAAGGAATTTCTTCAGGTACTACTAGTCTAAATTTGGCAAAGACAAGCCAAACCAGTCACCCGTCGCAAAAATCAATTTTGAGTTATTCATACAGTGTTAGAGAGTAAAATAATAGCTATAAAATGGTAAAAAAATCTTTCAAATCAGACATTTCCTTATGAAGCTACAAGCGTTTAAACATACAGCTGTTTAAAGAACTATATATGAGAAATCAGCCTTCGAAGTTTCAGGCATTTTCATGTATAAACTATCTTCAAATCCTTAAAAAGTGTTGTTTTAACATTGAAAATGGGGAAAATAACAGCATAGAATGATGTATAGATATATAAAGGTTAGTTTAGTGCAATAAAATAGATTTTTTTAAATTTGACATTCCAGCATGTTTTGGCCATTTTCTTCGAAACACGATTTGCGACGAGTGACTGGTTTGGCTTGTCTTTGCCACAAATAGTGTATATAGCACAATGATTAGGATCTTAAAGTTAATTGATTGTGTGTTTCATGGGTACTTTTAGATTTTATTGTTTTGAAATAGATTTCTTTTAGATAATGTTTTTTTAATTGTGTAATTTGCAACATTTTCAGCTGTTCAGCTTCTTGTTTTTATACTTTAAAATAAATAAATTATAAAATGAGTGATGTATAATCACTATTGGCAATCCTTGGCCTCATGTCTAAAATAATTATTTATCTATGCACATGGGCCAAAGATTGACAATAGCGAATATATCACTATATTTATAGTACAGTAAGTTTCAAAACATAGAGTAATAATTCTATTACTAAAAAGGACTCAAGAAGTGAGGGGGCGGATCCAAGAATTTTGAAATGATGATACTACTTTAACTAGATTTTAAATACCTTGTATAATATCTCACCAAATAAATTAACCTATATATAACTATAAGTGCTTTATTGTAATTAATCAATTTCAATAATCAATATCAATCATTCAATCAATTAAGTCATGTAATCAAATTTCTTTTTCATCAATAAAAATTTATGAAAAACATTAAAAATGAACATAATAATTTGAATTGCTCTTTTAAAATAATCACATTTAAACAAATTATTATTTAAAAAAACAATTTTCAAAAGATTTACTGTACTACAATAATTCTTAAATCCTTTTAAGTAATAGGTTTATATATTCACTGTAAACAAAAATCGAAAAGGTTTTATTGATGTTTTGTGAAAGTAATTCTGTACAGGAATGTAGTATTGTATGAACATGTTGGATATTCAGGAAATGAAGTAATGAACTTAACAATATGTACCTCTGAAGAATGTCACCAATTATGTTGATATGTTACAAAGGATTATGGATGATTTGGTTCATCCACTTGTTAACAGACTTCAACCTGCATCTAAAATATTTGTTTTATATCCATTTTTTCCAGGTTTTATTTCAAAACCGGAAGATTCACAAGCTGCTGCTACAAGAGTAAAGAGTAGTAATGGATTGTGTTTCATCCCAGCATTTAGTGGATTACAGGTATCATATATATGTAACATATACAGTATATCATTTTTATAATATAAAATATTATTACAAATTGGTCATACAGTATATATTCATTGTGAATTATGTTTATGTTAATTATTGTGTAGCTGCTGTTTTTCCTTCTCTGCTCCTAAACTCTGGGACTCTCTGCCCCCACAACTACGTATCATCTCTGATCAGGAATTATTCAAATCTAGTCTTAAATAATTCCTCTTCAAATACTTCTTTCTAACATCTTCCAGCACCATTGACAAGCCAGTTTTTGTTTGCTTTAACAGGCGCTTTAAAAATATGTATTATTATTATTATTTAATAATGTATTTATTCATTTGTCTTTTCTATTTATAAATATATATATTTAATTTATTTAAAACGGGACCCACTGTTGAAAGTTTTGCTTGTTGTGGTTTTTCCTTTTTCACCAATTGTAAATTATTTGTTATGAAAAGAGAAGGAAGGTGTGGAATAAATTGATGATTGATTATAAGCTTATCTAGCTTAAACATAGTTTCACTATGTGTGAGCGTTTCAGTCAGTTGTATGAGAGCAAGTGCCTGCAGTTAATGCACAACCTATGTGTCTCTGTGGTCTAATAGGTATGATACTCAACTTGACAGTGAAAGGTTGCAAGTTCAAATCCCGCCAGACACTTTTTTCATCATACAACTGAATAAAGGAACTTTTCGTTGATAAGATTATAACATCTTGTTCCCACAAGAGCATTGTTGTTATTATTTATCCATTTACATTGTGATTACGGTGCTACACAGCAAACATACATACA